CCCCCCGCCAGCCCCCCTACCCACCCCCATACCAGCCCCCCCCCCAAAAAAAAATTTATTTTTAAAAAATATTTTCAACTTAAAAATTTTATTTTTTAACCTAACCCCTTCCCCCCCCCCCCCCCCCGCCGCCAGCCCCCCACCACACCCCAAAAAAATTGTTTCTAAAAAATATTTTCAATTTCATAAATTATTTTCTACTCTAGTAAAAATAAAAGATGTTTCTCAAAAAACATTTTCCATTCATAAATCAAACACAAAATCATTTCTAGAAAATATTTTCTACTCACCAACCAAACATGAGAAAATAAGTCCAAAATCTACTTGTTTTCCAGGAAAACATTTTCCTTCATTCCAAATACACCCTTAAAGGAGAAAGTAAATGACAGCAACATGACCATAGGCTTGCATCATTAAGAAACCTGAGGCTTTATGAAGGTTTGATTGAGAGTTCACCAAATTTGACCATGGGTTTTACCAACATTGATTATAAGTTGATTGCCATTAGAGTTTCTAGGATGATTCAAGCATGTTTCCACACACTCTGCCAGCTTCATGACTCATTTGGTCATGTTAGGAATTTTATTATTTTTTAGTAATTTGACTTGGGCTGGAACCCATCATTTAGCTAGTTTTACGTTGAGGTGATGTAAGATTTGCGGAGTTTTTGATGAATCATTGATGGAGAACTCTCTTGAGAGAGAATGCCTTTTCGGGAATATCTTTATCCTCTTCAGTTGAACCTTTTTTGGATTCATCTAGTAAGTGTTCATGTATGAGTTCAATTTTTCTTCTTATTTGGATTGATTTTGTGTAACTGGATTACTAATTAGTAGGTTTAAGTATATATTACTTGGCTTGACTAATTAGCGAATTGCTTCTTTTATTCTATTTTGTCCAATATTTCTTATTCTATATCTATCTTCTCATCTTTTTCTAGTTTTTAATTTCCTTGTGTCAATGTCGTTTGGTAAATATCTTTCTTTCATACTGTATGCTGGTGAGGTGGAGTAAATAGTCTTGTGGAACAAAATCAAGAAGTTGGGCTTCTTCTTTCCTTATTTTATTGAACCAAACATGTTCTCGGATAGAATGGTTTCTCCACAATCTGCTAGTTAATGACTAAAAGTCAGTTGGCAAGTTGATGTGGGCTCTACAAAAAAGAATAAGTCTATTTGTTTGTCCAGTGAAACTATATTTCAAAATTAATCTATGCAAGTTGAATAGTGATAACAAATTGCTTTGAGCTCTCAAAAATGTATAGTTCGGGCAAAGAATTGCAACTAAAAGTTCATATTGTAGGTCTGTTTTTATGTTGTATATTTGAGTGATCCATGTTTTGGTACACAATTCTTATGCAAGTTCTTGACTTTGCAATATATCCTGGGTTTTGTCGTACATATATAATTGTGTTCCCCTAAAGTGCGTCATTTCTCCTTTTTGCAGATTTGTATTTCCAGCTGAAAGTATAAACTTCAGAGGTTGTTGGGCTTAACAACTAGTGAATTTCAATGTATCACTGCTTCTGTTATTCACTGCTTAAGACCTGATTTTTAGTTTCCTGTCGTGTGAAAAACGAAATCGGTTTGCAATGGCTTTAACTTCAGCCTCGTACTTTTTTTTTTCTGAGGGAAACTGTATTTCATAGTGGAAATAAAGAAAAAACTCAGTGTCTTCCTTATTGGTGTCCTAGTCTTTGTTTTATGCTTTCTCTATCTTGCGTGTAGTGTTGGTCATTAGTCATGATTAGAGGCTGGTATTTTTGTATTCTGTGTTGTAATATTGGAAGCTCTTGAGAAAATTAGCACACTTTTTCTGTGTTAATTTTGATCTAACTTGTTTTTTATCGACTGATATTCGCTCGATCAGTTTTCCACTCCTTGGCAGAATTTTCTGAAAAGTTTGCCACTCAGGTGCAATACTAATTTATGGAACGATAGTATGTTTAGGTGTAAGCGCAGCAGCACAATTGTCCAAGTTATACGCTTAGTGCATCATTACAGAAGTTTTAAGTTTATCTATCTAGATTTGTTTGGATCAATTATAAGAATACGGGTGTACATGACTGGATTGGTTCAGGGTTTTCAAATGAGTTTAAATTCTATCCACTGTCAGTGTATAGAAGGGTCAAAAATATTCTCTAACTTTGATTTATTGTTTAAATTTATCCTCGCCATCGAAAGGAAGTTCATTTTATCCCTCGTTACTAATTTCATTAAATTTATCTCTCGTTACTAATTTCATTAAATTTATCCCTTATTAGATGGATTGATTCAAAATGACCTGTTTTTTTTTTAAAAAAAAAATCTTATTCTTTATTTTAACCCAATAAGCCATCCCATTTAAAGTAATCCTGTAGACAATAAAATTCGTGTTGAGAAAACAATAATCAAGAACGAAAGATTATAGCAACAATCGATTTATTATTTCAAGTGCGAGTGTTACAATCTCTATGATTCCTCTGAATTCGTCTTTTCAAATATAATTCAAGGGCTTTGAAGCTTGATCTTGAACTTGGATTTATCTTTATCTTGATCGTGATTTCTATCTTGCTCTTGGACTTGAACTTGACTTGGACTTGAACTTTATTCTTGATTTTGACTTTCTAGTTGAATTCAAGGGCTTGGAGCTTGGTGTTGAATCTGGTGGTCTTGATCTTGATCGTTCTTAAATTTGATCTTGACTTCTTCAAATGTTGAACTTGAATACTTGAATCTTTTAATTCTTAAACTTGTAGAGAAATTTATGGCTTTTGATCCACGAGTTTTCTCTAAATTCTTGTTTAGAATTCTTGGTCCTCTTTTTCTGAATTATGAGATCCATATTTATAATTTTAGAATAGAGAAGTTGCGATTGGAACAAGACTCCCTTCGGTCAATCAGATTTAAATGAAATATCATAAGGATTTTATGTAGCGGGCTTTAATTAAGTTTATATCTATTAAATTAAATAATTAAATCAATTATATTAATCCATAATATTTATTTGGACTAATATATTCATTAATTTAATAAAATTCAAACAGCTTTATAAATTTATCTTTAATAAATTTTAAGTGACTACAAACCCAACCCCGTTCTCCCAAATACCCCTTAACCCATTTACCCATTCTCCCAAATTTTCTTCATTCTCTCCCGCAGAAGCATAGACTGAAAACTCACAAATCGTCTAGAGGAAGATTGGCTAAGACATCAATTGTTCCTGTAAATTGGTTGTTCCGTAAATACCTTCATACTTCAACATGTAAACTTCACCACTAAAAGACTCAACCAATTGTCTACAAAGATGAAGTAGAAAATTTTATTATCTCACATTTTGTTCATACTAGTCAGTGCCTTGAAGCTTTGAGGAAGATCACCCTTCTGAAGCGTACATATTAATGAATCAAAAACTATGAGACAAAGAATGATTAACTAGTCATTTAGAGGTTTCTAAGACTTGACTAAAGAATATCTCGAAATATATACAACTTAGTTAACTTAACTGGGATAGCCAGATAAGTTTACAAATTACAACAAGGATCAGATACATGATATTGACTTTGTTTTCCCAAAACAACAACTCAGATGGGAGAAGGAAAGGTAATACTAATGAAGTAAGAATGACATGTTTTACTAATAACACCTCACATATGAGTTATGACCACAACATTTATTATTATTAAAACACTCAAGAAATGGCATGAGTGGAAGATAGGGGCTTACAATGTATCAAGAGAAGATAGAGAGTCGAATGCGACAGTCATTTGTTCTTGAATTTGATTATGATTGACATTTCTACAGCCACATAAAAATATTAAAGTCATTGAAAAGCTTAACCTTAAACCAAAAGCTTATTGCTGGAAAGCAAATTGCAGTCAAATTCAAACATTTTACATACAAGTATCGGAGAAAAGTCATCTGCGAAATGGAATATGGAAGGGTACAATTAAAAAGCAACAAGGTTTCTGCATTGCAAGGGAAGGTTTAAGAAAGATAGGTGGAAAATCGCATTGAGGGAGAGAATGAAGGAAATTTGGGAGAATGGGTAAATGAGTTAAGGTTATTTGGGAGAATGGGGTCAGGTTATTTTAAATAGGACGAATTGTTGAGTTAAAATAAGGAATAGGTTTTTTTTTTAAAAAAAAATCGAATCAATTTGGGTCAATTCGTCTAATGAGGGGTAAATTTGGTGAAATTAGTAACGGAATGGGTAAAAGTAACTTCATTTTAACGGCGAGGATAATTTTAACAATAAATCAAAGTTAGAGGGTATTTTTGACCCTTTTCCCTACTTTTTTTTTACACTAACACATACTTTTAAGGCAAGTCCTTTTTTTATGAGTTT